ACCTCCTATCTTTCTGCACTGACCAGATCTTCTAGTTCAATGTTGAATAAAATTGGTCATGGTGAAAATTGTTTCATGTTTGTGATCTTAAAGAATTCTTTGAAGATTACGTATTAAATAAGATATTTAAAAAGTTCTTTGCTTTTGTGTAAATACTCTTCAGTAGTTAAAGAAGTGCCTCCCAATCCTAGTTTGCAAATTTTTAAAATATCATGAATCATTATTTATTTTCATCTATATCTTTTTATGTATCTATTGAAATATTATTTTTCTCTTTCTTTGGCCATTCAATGTGGATGGATACTTAACCTGATTTTCTGATGTTAAAACAACCTTGAACTCCTACAATAAAATAACTTGGCCAACTGAGTTTTACCACTTTTATACACTGTGGATTCAGATTATTTATGCTTTATTTAGGATGTTTGCATCTATTTTCATGAGTATGGGTAGCTGAATTTTGTCAGTGATGTATTTTGAGCAGAATCTGTATAACCATTTCCATTGACCTGATAGGTAAACTCTTACCAATGTAGTTCTAGATTATGTTAGTTTTGTTGGTTCCATGTCACAAAGTCAACTCATGCTGAAAGTACTGTTAAGGAAACTTCCTAATTTTTCTTACCAAATTGTTAAACTGAATGTTCCCCTATTTAGTAATTATTCAGTTGACCAATTGTAAAAGCTGATCTTTGTACCTGTTGTAATTCATTAGAAGGCACTGTAAACAGAATAATGCATATGGATATCAAAATTATTTTTCATAATAATTTGAGATATTATAATTAGTACTTTATAAATTTCATTAGGAGAAGTATAAAGATAATATTATTACAAGGATATGTGAGATTGGGAGATTTTTATATATGATATTGAGTACTCATAAGTGGGCTAACTTTGTGTACTAGACATTACCATAACTATGATCGATAAATGAGTTCTTGATTTTTTTTGTTTTTAATAAATATATTTTCTCATGATGCCTAACAATGCTTTTGGTTTATTCTAGGCAATAGATCTTTTCTCTGGTACTACTCCATTATCACATCATTCTTGAGGAGCTCTGAGTCATGGAGTAAAAACTCATTCGGAGCTTATTTTATTCACTTTAGGGTCATGCCATTCTAGGCATACATAATACCCTCTGAATTAACCCAATACTTAAACTGGAGGAAGTTAAGGATAGGGAATAGGGTTCAACTTTAACTTTTGAATAATTTCTGAGGATTGTGGAGCAAAGAAGTCACAAGTACAATTTCTGCTGGGAAAAGGAGAGTGGATAGTGCTTGTTAGTGAGTTTTTAATTTTTTAAAACCAAGATTGAAAGCATCTTCCAACTTCCACATAAACCCCAATTCAAGAGTCATTTCTGAGGAAACTTATTAAAACTATTTTTTGTCATTGTTAGGTAAGTAGCATTAATCACAAAGTATTTTTAAGCTCCTTTTATGTGAGGAGATCTACCTTGTCTTATAAATCTCAAACATCACTCTCCTTCAAATCCATCACTTTAATTTGGGATCTGAGAGGTAGCATTGAGAGTCAAGCAAGCACAACAAAGAAGTACCAAAGATTACTTTTAGCAGCCAGATGCTGTTTTGTCAGCAGACTCATAATGTGCATTTTAAGCTAGTCAATGCGTATACTTGGCAACTACATGAAACAGCCTAGAAGCTTCTTTAAACTAGAAACAGAAAAAGACAACATAATGTTGTAGGAAATAAGCATTGTTTTGTAAGGAACAAATCACATAGGATTAATTTAATAATGCTCAGAGACTCAGAGACAGCACTTCAGACCTTAGTGGGATTGCGGGAACAGTAGACAGGCAAGCCAGATTCTCTGGGAACTTTACAGCGGCGATGAGAATTGCTTTTGGAAGCTGCACTATTTCAGACCACTAGGGTAACCTTAAGTAAATGATTATTTCAGTGTTCCAATAGCACTTAGTTTACTAAAGCAGTAAATTATTCCAACTCTGAAATTCACAACTGCTCCTAAATAGCTGAACCTTGTAGCAGAGCAGCAGGACTCTGTCCTCCAGCTCCTTCCATTTCTGCCTGGTCCCATGCTTAAACAAATGCCCTAAAACCCAGCATTAACATTTCCGAGCAGTTTGAAAAGGAAGTGGTGCCTAATACAGCCCTGCGGGTACCTGACTTCACTATTTAGAATGAAGAGAGAAAATTAACACTTGATTGTGCCAATGGTGCTAGGTATTCATTCACATATGAGAGAAAAACAAACATTTCTCAAGATCGCTATTAAGGAATTAACTCACAGTTAAGATCGCGTAAAGTTTTTAAATGAGCAATATAAAACTGTGCTAAGTTTTTCTAGGCCTCATCGATCCACATACACACGTAATTCACTTATGTATTCCTCATAAGTCCAAAAAAGAAACTGCAGTCAATAAAAATGTTCCTTTGGTCAAAAAAATATTCCTTTGGTAAGCTGCCTACTGTTCTTGAGTTTTATGACAATCAGACAGACCTCTGTGCTAGCAAAGTGTATCCCTCGTCAGAGGGGTTTTGTTCATTGGGGTTAGGTTTCCAAAAATGGAAGAAGGGCAAGCAGCATCTTCATCGCAGTAGAATATGCACAGCACAGCACTTCCCCTTTCTGTTATACATAGCCTCGTAACCCAGTGGCTGACTGGAAACATGTTTGAAAATTGGTTATATAAATATTTAGGAGATGCTAATAGCATCTCTTAAATATTTTTTCAACTTAGAAATTAACACTAAAAAAGCAGAGGAGGAATTATGTACCCACAGCCTCCTCATCATTAATGTAAATGAAATTCAGTATCTAAGCAGATGCACTAGTTTCTTGATATACTATTTCTGTCAGATTCTGGCAATGGCTCTGATTCGAACAGCAATTACTGATAAAGAATTTAGCCTCAACTCTTTAGAAAAGTGGTTTTATTGAATTTACAAACAAGGTCCTACAATTTTCCATTTCCTTAGCAAGATAAGAAATCAACCAAGCTAAGCATGTCATCATGACTATAATTTACGTGATGTGACATGACAGTTAAGATGTACTGTGGTAATTTGTGAGAGCTTGCAGTATTATTGGTATTATCAAAAATTTATATGGTCCAGTTATTAAGGCAAATTGTTTCATTCATACTGAGGTATCTGACAGTAAACCACTGAGGGCTTCCACATTACATTAAGAGATGTCTTCCATATTCAAACAATTTGCATACCCTGTTACCATTATTTTGTTCACTGAATGGAAATTGAAGCACAGGCGAGCACAGCTTTTTGATGTGGAAATAATCTGTAGGGGAATGTGAAGTGCTTCATTGTGGGTGGTTATAGGGAACAGTTTAGACAGGATAAGGAAAGTTATCTTTGGGAACCAACAACTATGAACAGGATGTCCACATTCTTTGCTCTGATGTTATTTAATATCCCATTTGATTGTTTGCCTTCTGTCAGTTTGATTTTCAGCCAACAGAAAGAAAAAGCATATGACCAAAGAAGAAATGCTCAGAAATAACAGTAAAGAATATTCTATTATAAGCCATCTTAAAATAAATTTCACTACATTGAGAAAAATAAGACCTCTGAAACTCATCTTATTTTGATCCAAGGCAGTTTATTAAACTCCTCAGAGCAGGAAAAAACAAACAACTGGACAGTTTATTTTTTGGGAAATTTAAGCTGTAGACATTCAAGTCTTAGGTGCTCTTTAATTCTTACTGGGAATATAGGAGTTTCCTAAATAGGAAATGGAATGGAATGACTTATTGTAATGGACCTTGCAAATAAACACTTAATTAGTTTTTTTATTGCAGCTGTAGAATTTTATGCAACATAGACTGTCTCTTTTAAAATACCCATCATTGAAATCCGTGTTTTATTAATTTATATATTTTGCATAGTAGCATTGTAAAGACTGTTAAAGATAAGAAAACTGGCCACGAGCTATAATTTCTTCAATTTGCTAAAACCACCTGTTCCCCATCACAAATTAACATAAGAACCACTATTACTTTTTTCCATCTCAAGACTCACATGCCATGACAAAAGAACCACTAATTCTAAATGTATTTTTACTTATTTAACCAGTAAAACTTTCTTCAAAAGCAACTCTATATCTTTATAGGTAAAAACTACACTTAAAAAGCATTAATTTGCTAAGGGATTTTTCTGTGTAATCAGGATGATTTAACTATCAGCTGACAAGGTATTACCTTCCACAGAACAAGCAAGTATTCACATTTAATAGTGATTAAATTCTATAGTGATTATACAATCACTATATCAAATTTTGTTTCCAACAAATTAATATGCAAAATAAAATAATAAAGGCCAAGGCACTGTCTAGGTAAAGTTAATTCACAACTGGAAAAAAAGTGCCTGCACTTCTGAGGCTACCACGTACATTTATCTGTGCATGTTTTCATTGATGTGTGTGTGGGCTTTAAAACAAACATGTGCTTCCAATCTGGCGTGTCTTTTAGGGTAGTTCTCTTTCTGAGCTCCAGAAAATATGTTGTTTACATAAGCTTCATGCACGTATTAAATTAGTTCTGTAATAAATTTCATTTCTAATGAATATTCACATAAGATGGAAAAGTAGCTCCCTTGAATCTCAGTATTGAAATGAAACAGAAACAGATGAAGACATCAGTAAGTATCCCACCACGGACAACTCTAGAACAACAGCTATTTCAGTAAAAACAAACAGAGTCTTCAAATATCTATAATTTGTTTTGCAAGAAACTAATGACCTCTTTAATTTGTTTTTTAATTTGTTGATAGAACAGTTTACACAGAATGGCAACTATGCAGAGCGGTGAACAAGGGATGCCACAGCCCACAGGATGTGGGAAAAATGTCCAATTAAATCTAATTTAGTTGGTTCTTCCCATCTAAAACTGCACGTGTTTGATAGTCTTATCCTTCTTTAAACAAATAATAAATACACCCATTCTTTTACTGATCTGTTCAAGCGAAGCAGCAAGCACCACATGGACTTACCTTGTTTCCCAGATAGGGAGCTGGCGCGCTCCAGAAGTAGTCCCGAGGCAGTGCTCTGCGGGCCTCTGCGCTGCGGATGCTGATCTGCTCGGGGAGCTCGGGGTCGTGCTGGGGCGCCACTCGCACGTGGCCGGAGATGTCCGTGAGATGCCAGCCTCTCATGTCTTGTATCTTAAAAAAAAGCATACACAATCATCATTACTTGAGAAAAATAAAACGCATCCACTTCTTTTCACTTTCACATTCCTGAAGTATTCATTCATTTAGAAATTAAAAGAAAAACAGCAAAAACTATACAAAAATGTGAGATTGGTGAATATCACTAAACTTGTCATATGTGTTCAATATAGGTTCTTATTTTTTCTTTTGATGTTTGTAGGCATTTAGTTGGTACTTGCTATATAATAATTTGTTTTTATTGATTCAATGCTTTTTTTAAAAGTGGGGAGGGAGGGGAAGGGTTGTCAAAGAACATGTATAAAGGACACACGGACAAAGCCAGAGGGGGGAAGCATTGAGGGTGGGGGGTGGGGTGGGGGAGTAGAGGAAAGAGGTGAAGGAACACGGAGACAACTGTACTTGAACAACAGTTAAAAAAATACCCCCCAGAGTCATGACTCCAAATACTCTTCCTTAGTAATAGAAATCCATTCAAAATTACACAATGGTTAAAATGCTATATTAATTATCAGATAGTCTGATTTTGAATTTCATATTTTTCACTCCACTAGTAATTTCCTATTGTTTATAGACTAAATTATTTCAAAAGGTGTTACCTATGAATTCGTGAAGCAGAGGAAGAAAAGAAATAAAATATGCAAGCACCTGAAAGATGGCTTTTCATTCAGTATTTCCTCCCGTCCAATTTATTTAAATTTCAACTTTGAGACTTAAAAACACTTTAATGCGCCAAACTGTTGCTATGGCTACAGCTCACAATACTGTACCTACTCCTTCCCATGGAGTCCGAAGTGCTATGGGAACCCATATTCTTGGATCCTTGGCTCAGAAAAGGAAGAAGCTGTACAGAAGGATTAGGAATATATGATTACTCGCTTTTCTATTTTTATACTCCAGCAAGGGCCAGGCATAAAGCTGTAATTCTAATTTAAACTGTCAGGTCTGGATAAAACACTGGGCACCGAGGCTTACAGCTCAGGTGGTCCACTAGACCTGTGTGAGCTGCTTGGTGTTGGAGATGATAAGGAACAAACTGGTAATGGTGATTATGTGTGGATGAAATATTCTTTACAATGTCTTTATGTAGAAGTCATTTGATTCTGTATCTCCCAAAGCTGCGGAATTGCTGAGACTGCCCCAGTCAAAAGAGAAAGAGAGGACCTGTGAAAATGTCCTTGTGAGCTGGACAACAAGATATACATCACTTTCTTTTCTTCCCTTTCTAACATCACCCTCCAGACATTCTCAGACAGCCCAGCAAGACTGAGAGGAAGTTCTTCCCAGAAGACTAACTGAAGTGCAAATATCAACGGCCCCAGTTTCTGAAGACCAAAGCTGAGTGCCTCCTTTGTTCTTCTGCTAACCATAAAACTTTGATATAGTAATGAGCCTGTCTAGAACAGGGGCGCTGTAAACAAAAGGAGGAAGTTACACAAGATGCCCATTTGCTGTTGGTTCTATGTATTCTACTCCAAAAGTAACACATTTGATAGCGTGTGTATAGGTTCAATTTTAGACATGAGAGAACAATCAGAAACTACTTACAATATTTCAAACTTGACTTAGCAGTATAGACAGAGAAGAAATGCAATAGTTGTATTAAGGATTAGTCAGCTGATTAAAGTTGAAAGGAAGGAAGACGGTTTGCTGAAACAGTGATCTTTTTAAAACACTACTCTCATCAGTCTTCTGCTTAAACCCTTCAATGACTCTTTAGGTGTAAGAATCCAACTACTTAGCATACTAAACCCTGGATGGTATAGTTTCTCATTCCCCTTCTTGGCTTCTCTTTCTCTAGCCTGTTTCGTGCTATTTGGTGTTCCTCAGAGCAGCTGCACCCACCATTAGTAATTCCCTGAAGGTCCCATTTCCCTCTCATTGCCTTTCCTGTAAGAGGACAGATAACTGTCTCTGCACAGTGGAAAAGACAATGGGGAGGAAATGAGTGTGGTGGGCATTGAAGGAAGGAAGGTAAACATTTTTATGTTTATGTTAGAGGGAGAAAATTCTAGTAACTACCAAGTAGGCAATAATTTGAAAAACTTTAAATTGACTAAGAATAATGATATTGTCCGAATTCAGTGACCCACTTTTTAACAATGAAAGGACCCACCCAACATCAAATAGTAACTAAAGGCTGGTGGTATTATGTAGAGAAATAATAAGCAATTTTTCTTAACTTGTATATCAAAAATATTGGTGAGTGGATAATGTTATTCTTCATATCACAATCTGATGCTTTCTCTATCGAATCACCTTCCCCTGGGGCTAGAAGAACATTAACTTCATTACTGCTTCACATATTAATCACGGATACTGAAAAGGCTTTTGTTTACTTATTCTAAGAGGTTCCAGTCTGCACACTATTACAAATAAAACCTTAAAGGCTTTGATCAAAATACACAAATAGCATTTGAAAGAAAATCACATCACTCCTGCATGATTATTTTAAGTAGAAGCTTACTACAAGAAAAAAAATAATTTCTTACAAAAGAGCACAACAACAATAGCAAGAAGGCCTGTGGAACAGAGTACGGAATTAAAAGCCTGCTGCTTACATTGCCATAGGTCCAGTAGGAGCTTTGACATCTGTTGGAAACCCCAGAGCAGAAACACTCGTCACATCCTTTATGATTATCCGCTTGCAAGTTGAAAAAGCCAGGTTTGCAGCGGCTGCAGTCTCCTCCTTCAACATTCTCCTAGAAGTAGAAAAGTGTGTTAGCAACAGAGGGGCCCTTCGAAATTAAGAATTGTCTTTGTTTCTGTGTAAGGAAAATATAAACTGCATAGTCTTCATTTTACCTCTCAAAAACATTTAAAGTCTAACCATATTTTTTAAAATCCCGTTTGAAAGTTCCTTAGTAAGCTTTATTCTTTCTAATTGCACCAATGGAAGGAACACTGAATGCTAACCTACAGTAGTGAAAGTTACCGTTTGGTTTTCCTGCATGTCAAGAGTGTGGGGTTAATGTTATGATAAATACAGCAATAAGTTAAACATACTAAAATCAGTTTGGTTGACTAGTGGCTATCAAACTGCTTTGTCTTAGAACACATGATGCACGGCAAAACATTAGTTCAAGACATTGACCTAATACATGGATATATAATAGAACATTGATATTATACATATAGTAAAGTACTTTTCACACCCTATATTAAAAATGCATACATTTGAAGAAACATAAGAATCTGACAGGTAGAGAAACTGGGGCAAACAGTCACAGGATTTCCATAGAGAGGCTAAGTTGAAAAGGAGGGAATTTGTCCCTGTTTAATTTTGACAGTCTTTTCTTTAATACAACGGTTAGCCAGTTGATCATACAGTGATATTACAGGACAAAACAATCCTCAGTTGGTGCTTGTTCTTCAGATTAGTTTTATTAACTCTACCCCAGTATAGTGAAGTTATTTGTTTGTAAGTGCACCCGCAATGTGGGCTTGCCCAGGGAAAGCTGTATAACAAAAAATAGAAAGGTAAAAACTTTCCATTTAAAGAACAAAATTGGCTAATAACTTCTAAATGAAGGTTGCTTGCTTTCCATGGAACAGATTTTTAGTATTCCCTATGTATATATTTGCTCTACATTTTTCCTTTGCCTCGAATTCCCTTATTACCTCAATTCTAAAACTTTCCTTTTCCTTAGAGAACTAACTACTTGCACAACTGTTTTCATAGCCCTTTATACACTGCTCTATTATAAGCACAGAAAAAGTACAGCTATTTCTTCTAAGATTGTTCACTCCAGCTATATACCATAATCTATTCTGAAGTAGAACCCCTATGTTTACCCTATCTTTAGAGTACCAGCATTCCTAGTAGAACACTGAACATCAGCTTAACAAAACGTTATTAAGTTTAAGTGGATCTCTTAGAGGGTTTGTTTTTCATGCATAGGAAAATGTTATGCACATAGCAGATGTTTAATAAAAATACTTTATAATAAACCAAGATCATGTAGGAGATAGGGATGATTGAACATGATTAACAGGAGGAAAAATAAAAAGGGCAGGAATAGCATGAAAAAAGAGATAAACAGAGTGAAGGAATAAACAAATAAAGAAGTTCTCCTTGTATCCAAGAGAATAGTTTATTTGAAATCAACTTTTTGACTCTTAATTTCTATGACCCACTTACAACCTCAACCACCGCTATATTGCTGGGGCCTAAACAGAGCGCTGTCTCTAGATCTGCCTCACGTGTCAAACTTTAGCATGTTGATATGTACACAAATTCAATTATTGCCCCTGAAATTCTTGCTAGCTTTCATTTCTAAGGCAGATTTCAGATATTTTGAGATGATGGATGTGAGCGAAACTAATCAAACTAATTTCAGACCTATGGTGACAAATAAATCCCCAAAGCCCTGAGGTTGAAAGCATCCTCAGAAGAGTACACGGGCAGGAAAGATGAAACATTTATAATTATAATTTAGCTTATCCCACTGAGGACACAGTACAGCTGTTCTGTACACTGTGTTCTTACGTTTTTGGTCTAATCTACCTTTCATTTACTCTAATTTGAAAGCTTGTAATATCACCTTTCTGAGATTCAGACTGAATTCAACAAGAGATTTGGAGACAGCAGTTACACTTTTCTTAGCTCCATTTTACACTGGAAATATGAGCTTGAAAAAATTATAATTAAATAATTGCAATATTCGATTTTATCTAATGACCTAAAACAACAAATCAGGGTGGGAATTCTAGGAACTACAAAGAATGGTAGTTCAAGGTCTCTGTACTTAAAAGCCAACATCTAGAGTTTGGTAAAAAGGTAATTTATAATCAACTGTAATGCATGGTGGACCACGATAAGTGCATCTCAGAAATAAACTAAATTAGGAAAACACAGAAGCGAAGGGGCTAAAATGCCTGCTATGAAGGTTTGAAAAGGCTTTATGACAGTAGCAGAATTTGACCAAAACCTTGAAGCATGGTTAAAATATTCAGTCTGTTGCAGGAGATAGAATGAGAAAGCCATGTTATCAAAGATATTGGGAACAAGAAATAATCCAAAGAATAGAAGGTTCATTCATTATGTACTCTTTTGAAACACATGTATTCAATATTCCCTATATGCCAGGAACTTGGTCCTTGGGTTCCAGGGTTCCTGACCTCACATGGTGAACATTTAAGGCTGCCTTAAGAGATTTGTACAGTTTCCCTTAGGAACTGGTAAGTCTTTAAAGGTTATTCAGCAGGAGATAAATCAACAGAACTATACTTGGCATACTTAAACTGGTAGTAGCAGGCAAATGTCTATGAAATGTGAGACGCCGGAACAAGGAAAACTTTCATTAGCATATTGGCTCAGTAAGAATTAGTTCAGCAGGCTTGAACTGCTCAAATCCTGCACGATCCAAATTGAAAGTCTGTCCCTTGGCTCATGGGAGGTAACCTATAAGCCCTTAGAATTTCCTACCTGACAGGGCTGTCTTTGTACACCAGGCAGGGGGTCACACCAGGTATTTTGTGCAAACATGTAATTTATGGTGGATGCCTGGTTTTTCAACTGAGGCCTCGGCCACATTGTATCAGTTTGACCTTCGGGGGTTTTGGAGACTGAAGAGTTAAGGTCAATCATGTAAGTGTTCTCTATCTACCTGACTGACCTCCAGTAAAAGTCTGGACACCACGACTTGGGCAAGTTTCCCTGCTTGGCAATACTTTACATGTGTAATCACACATTGCTGCTGGAAGAATTAAGCATTCTCTGTACTGTTCTAACATTTGTACTTAGTCTCTCCTGGACTCTTCCCTATACACATTTTCTGTTTGATGACTTTAATCTGTTTCCTTACATTCAATAAAGTAAAACCATGTGTACGACAGTTTTTCAGGGTTTTGTGAGTCCTTCTAGTAAATCACTGAAATTGAGTGTGGTCTTGGGGACCCCAACATACCATGGTAAAGATAATAGGATGTCTATACTTATAAAAAAACAAGTTACCAACTGGTAGTTTTGTTTTGCTTATTATGACATTCTTTGAGTCGATATGTTTTAGATCCTGTTACAAGTTCTCAAGCTAATCCTCTTCTAATTCCCCACACCCAATTCACTGCACCCCTCATCAAAAGTAATTATCAACTCAAGATTTGAATAGACCTCACATACAGTTGCAAAGCAAGTCAGCTTAAAGCCACAACCTTAAGTTACCAGATTCCTAATTTTTTAATCCTGAGTTTGTACCATACTTTTTCTTTAGTGAGTGTGAGTGGCAGCTCCTAATCATTCCATTGAAAAGTGCTTGGTCCTAATTTTTCTCAGGCTTCATCACAGACAAATATTAAACCAAAACTAAATAGTAAATATGGTGGATGTAGTGCGTATTTACATATCTGTTTTTATGACCTACTTGAAGTACTTTTGAAGCTGGTAGGAAAATGAAAATTAAGGAGAAAATCTGTTTAGCTCACTAGATCTCTGCTTCTGGACACGTCTCAACATGTATAGAATTAATTAGTGATATCAGGTTTTACTTTCTATTTCCTTTCCCAACCTCCCTTGAGGGGATAAATATGTAAACAATTTCTTACTTTAGAACTGTATTTCCAAAGTTTCCTTTGAAAACAATAGTTTTAAAACAGTGATTACTAGAGAACGTCAAAGTTTGATAATGTGATTTAGATGTTTTACAGTGGCACAATTCAAACACAGAAGCATAGTAGTCAGGATTTTTTAATTGCACATTCATAGAAACAAAGTTCCCACCTTCTAGTAGTTTGTTAATATGCATGACCTTGGCAGCTTGGGTCTCAATTCTTTTTACGTGTTCCCAGGCGGATCACTGCTGTTTCAGAACTTCTCTGTGACACAGCAGCAACTGTCACCCATGAAGCCTCCCCTGATGGTATTCCTGATTCATTCTTGGAAGACTTGATATGACTGGTTCAGGACTTAAATTTTCCAGAATGAACCTTCAACTTTATGGGCAGGCTTTTATGAGAAATGTCCTTTGATACCAATAAGGACAAAATTTGTAATTTAGAAACATATTCAATATACTCAGCTGAGTATCTAACTAGATATGTTGTGGACTACCCTACAAAAAATTTATAAGAAATGCCCTTTCTTTCCTTTCTTACTCTTTCCCCCTAAAAGCAAAGTTGAATTAGGAAAACCTTAGTAGGTTTTTTTCTTCTTGAGGTTAGCTACTGTTGGGTTGACATCAACTTTCTCTTTACTATAGTTCCCTCAGGATAGCTTCCCCTTACAGAAATAGTCACAATAGTTTCCCTTTATTATTGCTCACCAAGCCGCATTCTTATCAATTAGGTACAACTTCAGCAGAACATGTTTAACTGTGATTGTTAGCCAAGTGGGAATTCTATTGACAAAGTTACCATAAATACCTCTAGTGACATTTAAGTTAATTTTGTGATAATTGCTTCAGGAATTTTGCAGTTATTCTTGTTTTTACAGGGTGTGTTTGTAGTCACTTACATATATTCCTTTGTGATGGCCTCATTCTAATGCATCCTAGTATTAAACAAAGTTAAAAGAAGGATAATTAGCTAATTAGTGGTATTTGTTGAGTGCTTATTTTTTAAATCCTGTTTCAAATTTAAAAAATAAAAGTTGCTGGGTGGCAAAGAGAAAGATAGAATGAAGTAAATTAAAATTAGCTCTCACTTTTCAAAAGCTCAACTTTCAGTATTACAAATTGATTAACATAATATTTTGAAGTGTAGCTGT